AAAGTGATCAATGATCCAACAAGTGACAAGCACAAGAAGTGGATTGAGACAATTGAAGATTTGAAAGCTATCCGCAGAACAAGGCAAAAAAGATGGACTGACAATCGACAAACAGTCGAATCCAACAGTGAAATGACATTGTATTTCATTCACAACAATCCAACTCGACTACCAAACAGGAATGCACTAGAGTTCCACAAGACAACATATCTCATTTGGTGTATGGCTGGTGGTGTAGAATCTGATGATGAGTATTGTCCATATGATGATAATGGCTGTACTCCTGTAGATTACCAGAGTAAGAATATCGAAAAATGGATGGAATCGAGTGCTATTTTGATCATTGAAATACTCAATAAAACTGTGTATTCATTACAAGAGACTGGTTTCTGTTACAGTAATAGTTGTGTCGAGTCAATGTCATGGTGTAATGGCTTCAAAAAACACCATTTTGATGATCGATACTGCATCAATATGATCGTTTTACAACCGATATATTGAAACTTGTTGATATCGGAACCAGTATTGATATTGGTAGTGGATGATGTATAATCAAAAAGAAATCCACATCGGAACGTTCCTTGCTCTCGTTTGTGATTGTTTTCCGTGGATTGTTCTGGTATTTTATGTAGCTCACTTTTTGCCTCGCACGCATGTAAGCAGCAACCACGAATCGTTGAAACACAGATTGCACAAGTCGATACATTCTGATGACATTTGGAATATAACAAGACACAAGTGGTGACCAAAGTTTAATTCACAATCCATGAATGAACACGATCGCGTTGCCGACTGGATCAAATAACAACGCAGGTGTTTGGAACATGTCTTGAATACATGAATCGACCAGATTGACAACATACTCGTGTAGTCGATAATCAATGGAATTGACCAAACGGAATGCCTGCAACTGCCAAAAAACCAAACAAAATGCCAAAGCATTTATATTAAAATGTTACACTACGACATCATGTCTCAAAGTGCTGAATGAGTCGTTGTCATGCAACTTTACTGTTGATATTGTTTATGTGTTTGAAGATGTGCAATACAATCCGTAGTGTGTTGCTCAATGACACTGATCAAATGGTACTGAATACAGTGTGTCAAACAAGATGATCGCTTTGATTAGTGTGTCAGAATGTTTTGATAAATAACAATTATATCATGATGTATATTGGTTCATGTAGTGTATTGTATAGTCAACTATGCACATACACATGCATGTCATTGTCAATTGATGGTCGTTTGTGAACAACTTGTGGACAACTTGCAAATATTACAATCATGGTGATTGCTTGAATGTCGATACCAAGCCATGCGTTTGATGGTCATTTACTGTTCAGTTTACTGTTCAACAATGCAAATGGTCGTTGTCTACCAATCAGTCGAGTCGTAGACATGAACTGCACATTGTGCGTATCGCTTTGTTCATGACAAAACTGTAACAATGTGTATTTTGCATTGAGTCTGAACTGCAATCTGCGACTTGTACGCATTATGATGTATTGTTTCAATAGCCATTGTTGCATTCATCAACATCAACGTGCAGTGTCGATCTGATGTTTGGTGTTGATGTTGTGTTGATATTCCAACAACACTGAATATCCCAAATCAGGTCAGCATTGACTCGTGTGATAATAATCCACAGACAATCGGTTGTACCAAACTGTTGTACAACATATTGACATTTGATCAATCGGAACGACAATCAATCACTACAATGTGTTGTTTGATATACAAACTATAACCCACATGGTGACTGATGTTGTAACACATGTCGTAACACAACATTGAATCAATCAAACTGCAATTACACACTCCATCATATGTCGCATGTGTTGGCATGTCAAGTGTGGTGATATCAGGTCAAAACAGTCGATTGGCATAATAATCCACCAACATTCGAGTCGTTTGGTCAACCAAACAGTTGTATCATGCGGTAATATCAATATACTGCGATTGTAGCATGCCATTCATCAGACATTGTTGAAACCATTACAAAACCTGTTTGGACCAAATCAAACTGTGACAAATACCGCATACTCGGATCATCGTCAACTAAACCAGGAATACACACTTTGACAATATTGGCGATTGATGATTGAACTTGATTCATGGCTAATTCGTCGAGTGTTTGCAATGTGTTGTTAATAAAACCAGTCATATATCATTTGGTGTTGTTAACTTGTGGTTTGGTGATGGTTTAATTGCAAGTGATTCTTGGACACAACACATTGCAAACCAAGCAACTTGACTACTTGAACGACTCAAATGACTCGATACTAACCGGAATTCAATACAATTGTTGAATAGCCCATGTAATATCAGATCTAGTCAAGTCAACAGACACGACAGCCGATACAACTATATACAGCAAAAATGCGTTGGATTCATTTGTGATTGCATACTCATCAATCTTGAATGACAGTGTTTGTGCAGTTTTGGATATAGGTTGTATGGATATTGCAACAAACCTGTAGTATTATAGTATGACTGGCATATACTACTATTGGATCAAACAACATAACAGTCCGATATAATGTCAAATATATGTGCATAGAATGGTCACCAAACCTGATCGGTTGTGTATTAATCATAAACAACTACCAATTAGCAACAAGTGGCATTCGTATACATTGACAGAATTACTACAGACAACACCAACAATTACAAGATCATGTGCAAGATAGCAAGAATTGTGACATGGTTTCAATAAACCAACAACAACTGAACAAATGACATTGCAATGATTATTCACAAAACAAGGCAATCAAACGACAACGACAATGTTAGTGACGATTATGTTGGACAATATTCATGATTCAAATATCGACAGTCAAAGATTGGTTAACCAACAGTTGTACGATTATACAACTGACCCGTATATTGACAAGTGATCAACATCGATCCGGTCATAGTTGAAACGGTGTATCACAGGACTTGAAAGTTGTCAGTATTGTTGTGGTGTAATATTAGCAACTACACACAACTTGACATGAATGACAATGTTGATGTCAAAACTGTCAATGTATTACAATGTATTGGTCAACAGTGACTGCAATCAATGACAATATTGCAGTCAATTCAATCCAATTGTTGATTGGAACAATCATTATTCACTTGTCAGATTCAGCATGTAAATGAATGTTTTGTAACACATTCACTAATCCAACAATCAAACTCAATCTGAACATTGAATATTAAAATGTAATCAATTGAGTTGAATTGACACTTGATTGAGCAATACAAATAAACACATGACAAATGTTTAAACAATATTCAAAACGTGAATTTGTCTCACATTGTTCACATGATATCGAGTTTTGGATTTAAAGTCCAATTTTTTTTTCTTTTTTTCTTCATTACATTACATTCCACTCTATTCTATTACATTTCCTTTTGCTCTTTCTTCTACTCTATTCCTTTCTATTTTAACAAACTACAATGGAAAATAAAGTATTCTACATTCAATACCTCCACAACCAGCCAGTGGAAATCGAAACTCACTTCAATGGAGAATTGGAGAGAAAAAGACCGCTTGACAATGTCTCAAAACTGATTGCAGCTTACAAGACTGTCACCACTACCCTCCTTGGTGCTATTCATGTTGAAGAGCTCACTCTCCATTATGTGGTGGATGGTCCAGCCATTGCTGTGGATGTGCTCCTGACCTCTATTCAAAATCCTTTTGGTTCTTACGACCATCCACTGATAATCAAATCAAAAGGTGATTCTGGCCAAAGTCTTGTCAATCGTCTTACAGTAAGACTCGATAAATTTTTATCAAACACTTTGGCAGATATCGAAAAAAATCTTTCAGAGTCATCTACTACTGAAATCAAAAGAAACTATCCTAAAACACCTTCGCATGTTGGACGGTGGGAAAACTTTTCAACAGATGCAAAAGCATATGAATATCCTGCTACTCATGTTGGGAGTGATGTTGTTTTGCCTGTTACAAGGAGAGTTGCATTCACACTGGAAAGAGATGTCAGCAGGGCTGTTGGAAACCATTTGGATAACTTCAACAGAATATTTCAAGACCAAGGAGAGGCGCACGTATTCCAAACCAAACCCACTGTTATCCCTTTAAACTCTGGAACACCAACTCAAACAGAAAATTATATCAAGTTTATTGGAGTTCCAGATAATGTTCTCACTCTTGGTTCCAAAGTGTTGTCATTTATTGAAGACAAGACTCCAAATGATTTGCCGGTTCGTCATTTTGCAAGCGGAAACCCATTTGATTTGCTGGAGATGTATAAAGAAGATATACAATACCAACAAAGCAAAATAACCCGTGAGGACATTGGACGTATGGATGTGTGTACAGTGATTGATCAAGTTTATGGATATCTCTCATTGAACAATCTGGTCTATGGATGTGTAACATGCTATGATGTTACATATTTTCTTTGGCGACCCAAGAGAAGCACTCTTCTTATCAGCCATCCCATTTTCAATAATTCTCATTCGCCTAGTCTTCTTCAAGCACTATATTACTTTGTTCAGCTTGCTTTACGAGACTATAAAAAACAAACGCTAGATCCCAATCCAAAGGACTCTGATATGCCTGTGGAACTTAACGCCAGCAATGAAATGGATACTGATGAACATAATGCGGATGGACAATCAGAATCAGGCAGTAACTATTCAACCGCAGGCCAGGGAAAAGAAACAAATTATAGTTTGGACAAGAGCAAAGGAACAAAATATAACCTTAATCTCGATTCTCTTCATTACGGTACCGTGGTTGGATCTGGAGCAACTGGTCAAGTCATTCGACTCAAGGACAGCAACATTGTTGTGAAGCAATGTGATTCTTATAACAATCCTGAAGGATTCAAAATGCTGAAGAACGAAATATCAATTTACGAAAAGCTTTCCCCACTCAATCTAAAGTATATCCCTCGTTATTATGGACAGTGCGAATATTATGGGCAACATTTCATTGCGTTGGACTATATTCCCGGAAACCATTGTGATTGGAGAGCAAACAGTGAATTGAAGAAAAAGTTGAATCGTGTTATTCGAGACTTGAAATCGGTTGGCGTGGTTCATCAGGACTTGAGACCAGAAAATGTGCTTTTAACTCATGATGGGGATATCAAATTGATTGATTTTGGTAAAGCAGAGATTAAATAAAAAGTTGGGTTTCATGTAACTAATTGGTTATTTTTATTGTCATTTGTAACATTGAATTTCTTAATATTATTCAAATTCGTTTTGGTACGAATTAAGCACAGAAGGCTCCTAATAATTTACACTTTGAACTAATGTCTATTTATTTTTGCCAAAATGAGCAGATGATATGCCAGTTTCAAAACAGGAGCGACAAACTATCAAGTAGTTGGCAATGCCACGTTCATGCCAACACATTACTGTCACGCGGCGGATTAGGTCCTTGACTCCTTTGGCAACTAGGGACATTTGTAGTTGATACGTTTGATATGCTGCAAGTATTGCTAATCCTAACAACATTTGGAAACAACAGCAGCCAGATCTGACAAAAATCCGAAAGCGCCAGCACAGAAAAAAGACCAAACCAGTTGGAGGGATCCGGGGGAAATAAACTCAAGAAAACAAGTAGCAAGCAAGTTAGGGACGGAGCCGGATTGAGAAAATTTATCAAGATTTTTGTTCGAGTTTCGACATGAGTAGTATGGATAGGGCACTGGATGATACCAGTTTTCTTGACTAATGATTACCACTAAATTTTGTCCAAAGTTGTCAAAAATAGAAAGTTATTGGACATAAGCAATTCAGGTCAAAAACCTTGGGTATTATAGTGGGAGTTTATTAGTTTGAAATATCAGGAGATCTGTGTCAGATCCATACTTGATGCTTTAAATGGAACATCTTATTTTTGATGAATGTATGCAGTGTTACCACGAGCGAACCCCTGTGATTTGTGAAAACCAAAGTGGTAAAAAATACCAATAGTTTTCATGGGATTATGAACTTAATTTCAATTATTTCTTCATTACTTGTTGTATTAAACAGTAATGAATGAAACTGACTCGAAACTTTGATTTGAACATTGAATAAAAGACTCGAGTCATTATATGAATGACGTAATCAATTGTTGAGTTGAATTGACACTCGATTGAACAATACAAATAAACACAAAAATGTCTAAACAATATTCAAAGTGTGAATTTGTCTCATCACACAATATCGAGTGTTGAATGAGACAAATTCACGTTTTATTTGTTCTTTTTTTATTTTATTTTCTTTCACAATTACAATGGAAAATAAACATTTCTACATTCAATATCTTGACAATCAGCCAGTCAGGATTGATATTTATATCAATAATGAAAGGACTGCTTTGCGGCCTTTCCCCCTTGATAGTGTTGGTGACCTGGTTGTAGCAATCAAACAAACACTTTCATCGAAACTTGGTGCTATAGATCCTGACAAGCTCACCATCCATTATGTGGTGAATGGTCCAGCCATTCCCGGGAATACTCTGTTGACCTCCATTCAGCATCCAGTTGGTTCCTACGACCATTCACTTGTCATCAAATCAAAAAATGATTCTGGTCAAAGTCTTGTTAATCGTCTTACAGTAGACGGTAAAGCACAAAATTCGATGCTGCCATTTAAGCTTTCTCGCAATCCTCTTGCTTATCTAAATGTTCAATATGTCCGGTTTGGTTATTGTAAATACCTTGCCGATACGTTGGGCGTACAATTGAACTTTGATAATCTTCCTCATCGTGATTATGATGTGAACTCTGATTTTTTTCGTCAGATAATGGGAGCGCTTCTTAAAAAGGGGATTAAGCGTGTGGTATTTGATGAATCACAAAGACACCTTGGACTCATTGAATTCATTGTCAAGGAAGGTGCTAAACGACCTCACTTTATAATAACGGGAACTCCTCCTCATGGAAAAAACGCAATTGATTACGGAGGCAGCGCTTCAGCAAGAATGGCAGGGGTCAACTTATCGGATCTAAGACCTCCGGAAGTTAAACAACTGATACGAGCTATATTCCAAATTGACAAAATAAGCTCCATCTGTGTTCTGAACTTTTGGACTGTCTTTGGTGGCGATCCGTATCTTTACCAACTCTTTGCAAAAGACATGCTTGCTCAATTGGATGACGATACCAGATCCAAAATTGCTCTTGGCGAGAAATTTCCACAGGATTTACTACATAAGTGTATCGATGAAGCCAGAACAGCTCTTCGGGAAAGAGGCATCAGTGCTGATTTACTCAACGCGATTCCAACAACTGGTGTCAGCAAGATGGCTATTCAGCAAGATCTTCAAAAAGATGTTTCTCAACTGGTGAGACGAGGACTCTTGAAAGAGATTCCGTATTTCTCAGACTCTAAAAAATTTCGAATTTGTTGGACTGACTACAACGAAGGACCTAACATTGTTGAAAAATCTTGGGCTCGATGCCGGGGGTACGCAATGGAAAATATTATTTGTAGCTTTGTAGGAGAGGCTCTTTTTCGTAAACTTGGAGATATTCTTAACCTCCCGAGTAATCGCTATGAATTATATGAATATTTTTACGATGGAACTGATGCCGATATACTTCTTCGTGAAAGGACACCTTCTTCGGGTGATATTGACAAAACTTGGAAGCGGCATTGGGTTGTTTTTAACATCAAAACCAGCAGTGATGCTCTCTTGAATACTGATTCCGTGCAAAAGTTCTCTGGGTTGTGCAAAGTTATTTCTATGAAGGAAAATGACCTTTTGGATAAGTGTTCATTGATTCTCGTGGCTGCTCAAATAGATGAAGCAACAAAAGAAAAGTTGTTGGTAACCTGGCAAGACTTTAATGTTCTCGGTGTCTACGATTTGGATTATTTATTTAGCAAGGTACCTGAACCCGCTGTCAAAACTAAGCATAATTTGCTTGTAGTCGAACGAACGATTGAAAAGGAAATAATTGAAAAGACGCAACACGATACGATTTCTTTGTCTGGTAGATATCGATGCGGCAAGACTACTTTTTTGAAAGAATGTTATGGCGAAGATAATGGTTGTATTTTTGTTGAACTTCCGGAATCCAAGATACAACCGCTTTCCTTGGAATTGAAACGAATTGAATGTAATTAATATACCAAAAGAAATGAGATTTTATCCATATTTCATCTACTTTGATTTTGAAACTTGGTTGAAATCAGTCAAATCTACGACCAACTTGAAGCTCATTCATTGAAACACACAAACTTTTGAGCACAAGTTTCATTGGAAGTGAAGAAAACAAGGCTCAATTCATCCCAGTTGAAGGTACAACTGAAGAAGCTTTGGATATAGTGATGACAAAAATGGATCAAATACGACACAAATATCTGCAATTGTTGTATTCAAAGTATTCTCGGTTCTTTGTAATGATGGCCAATTTGGACGATGCAAAGGTTCAGAAACGATTAAGATTACAATTACTAGAATGTTTTGATGTTCTTCCTATTTATGGCTTCAATAGCTCATCATATGACATTAACATCATCAAGAAATACCCTCCACAAGTCTTGAAACACTCTAAAAAACATGCAAATGTATCCAAATGCGAAAAGCCTTGGATTAATTCAATTGAAGGAGAATTAGATCGTAATATTGAACAATGCGAAAAGATTGAACGATACAATGTTGATGGCTACGATGAAGAATCAAACACAATATATGACTTTCTGGGATGCTTTTTCCACTGATGTAGAAAGTGTCACAAATCAGAAGATATCAATCCTTTAGCTGGAGATACGATGAACATATTGTATGAAAAAACAGCAAACAAGGAATCAGCTCTCAAACAATGGGATATACCACAAGATCAATTTGGAGTTGTGAGTTTCATTCAGCTGAAAACGGACAAGTGAATGACATTATTAAAGTAACAAATACCGAATGATATCAAATGGATCGTTTGCTTTTAAAGACATTCTTGCTTTTCAACCACCAAATACTTTATTTGACAAGTTCTTGAAAATGTTTGACACAATCACAAATGGGAATATTTCCACATAAAATAACTCGGAATTTATCGAAATACATTGATGAACACCCAGAGTTGACACAATATTCCAATAATGTCATTCAAGTTCTTAAAACACTCACATATTCCATCTAAAAAGTGGTTTTACAACAATCTAAAGGGAGAATCAGTTTCATCAAACGATTATAATGAAATGGTATTCACTCACACCAACCTGTACGATTTGCTGAACGACTACAACAATTTGGATGTGAAGCCAAGCGTAGAAGCGACAAAGAAGCTGGGTAATTTCTTTCAGTCGTTGAATCTTGATATCCACAAAAACAGCATCTTTGTTCCTAGACTCACTCTGAAATATCTCTGGCACACAAAAAGCAAAGACTGCGAGTTTCAGTTATTCAAAGGGAATGAAGAATTGTACCACAAATACAGAGATGATCTGGTTGGTGGTCCAAGTATCGTATTTCATCATTATCAAGAAAAAGACAACCAGAATTAGAAAAGGAAAGCTTTGTCAGGGAATACTTGAATATGATACCAATGCTTTATATCTGTGGGTGATAAGTCAAGATATGCCGTGTGGTGAGCACCAAGTAGTTCAAGTTTATCCCGATATTCTGAAAGATGTCTTGGATAACACGTTCTTTGGAATGATAGAATGTGATATTGCTGTTCCTGAACATTTAAAGGAATGCTTTGCTGGAATGCCTCCTATTTTCAAGAATGTTGAAATTACATGCAATGATTTAAGCTCTGACACACAGGCACATGTCAAACCAGATCACAAAAGTAACAGATTAGTTGAAAGTATGTTTGGTGAGACGATGATGTTTGCTACTAAACTGCTGAAAAGGTATTTTGAGCATGGATTGGTTGTTTCAAATATTGCTTTTGCTGTAAGATATGAACTTAAAGTACATTTCAAGTCGTTTTCTGAGCAAGTATCAAATGAGTGAAGAGTCCGAGATACAAGTCCTGGTTATAAATTACGTGGAGAAATGATGAAGTTGATGGGAAATTCATCTTATGGTAAATGCATCACAGATTTCTTGAAACACGAGACAGTCAAGATTGTTACTGGAGATAACTACATCAAAAACATCAGAAGGAATAATTACATTGAACATCAAGACATGAACAAAGGATGCGAGTTTCGTTTCAAAAAGATGTCGTTCAAACAAAGTTTACCTATTCATATTAGATTTCAAGTGTATCAATTAGCGAAACTACGAATGCTTCAATTTTACTACGACTCTATTGATTATTCCATTGACAAAAGTGATTATCAGTACTGTATGATGGACACTGATTTAGCTTACATTGCTATATCTGATGAATCGTTAGAAGTCATAAAACCAAGCTTAAAAGATGAATTTAAAAAGAATCGGCATCTGTGGTTGGAAAGAGACGATACCATTGAGAATAAGGTGTATGACAGCAGAACACCGGGTCTGTTCAAGTTGGAATATGAAGGAACCTGCATTATATCCTTGGCCAGTAAAATGTACTATTGTGATGAAAACAAATTCAGTTTAAAAGGGAATTAACAAGAAACAAAATGAAATCACAAAACAAAAGTATGTGGATGCTTTAAAAGGTAATTATACTCAGGAATTTGTTAAGAATGGATTCAGAGTCAAGAATAATCAGATGAACACATATTCATTAACCAAGACAGGAATGAAATTGTTTAATGACAATGGATTCAGAATTGGGTTTCAAATATTTCCAACTGAATTATAAGAAATCATTATCTTGTGTTTATTTAATGGAACAGTTGTATGAATTATACTACAATCCAAAGACAGGACTCCTTTCAGCGCAAAAACTTTATCTGAAACTCGACAAACAAGTGCTAATGAAAACAGTTTAGGATTTTCTTCAGAAACCAAGAAGCGTACCTTCATTTAAGAGTATCAACGTGTATTCAGTCAATGACCAATGGCAGATTGATTTGATTGACCTGTCAAGGTATGCCAAGTGGAATAGTGGATACAAATATCTTCTTTGTGTGATTGATATATTCAGTAGAAGGGCATTTGTCGTTGCGATGAAGAAGAAATCAGATAGCACCGAAGCGATGAAGAAAGTATTAGATATAGAAAAACCAATCCTTATTCAAAGTGACAATGGAACAGAAATTTTAAACGGAGCATTTCAGCGATTATTAACATCCAAAGGTGTTCGGCATATCACGGTGGAAGTAGGCGACCACAAGCGACAAGGTATAATTGAACGATTCAATAGAACACTAGAGAACATCATTGCTCTTTACCAAGAAGCTCGGCGAACAAATACATATATTGATGTACTGGAAGATATTGTTTACAATTACAACCATACTTATCACCGAGGTATAAATGGTATTCCTCAGCAGTTGTACCTAGGCAATCCATCTATTGGAACAATGAATGTAAAAATAGAGAAGAATGCTATAGGTGTTGGTGACAAAGTTAGATTGCTAAAAACTAGGCAAGCATTTCGCAAAGGATATGAGCCAAAGTATAGTCAGTATATATAAGGTCATCAGTGGCAATGGCTATTCGTACTTTATTGCAGATGATGATGGTAATATTCTTCCAAAGGCATACAAATACTATGAACTACAACGTATTGAATCTACCCAACGGTTTCATACAGAATCTAGACAGAGAGAACCACGAATGACAAATATGGAACGTCGAAATAAAAGAGAATTGGAAGAATTGGGTAGAATTAGAGGTCCAGCTCATAAAAACGGAGAACATTAAGCGGAGCTTATTTTCTAAACCAACTGTATAAATGACATTCATTAGTTTCATTAAAACTCACCAAGCGTACATTCAATGTATTAAGAATTGGGATTCGTATTCAGTTGACGAACAAGAACAACTAAGGAAATGGTACCGAGATTACTATGCCAAAAACAAACAAGCTGAAAGGAAACGATATCGAGACTATTATGCTGCTAATACCGAGGCAGAGAAGGAGAGAGCTAAAAAGTACAAGAAAACTAAACAATCAGGAGACAATGTTTAGCTCAAAAACACACCCGATAATAATGAGATTTTCATAATAAACACAATAGTTGCAGAGATTTTCTATTTACAAGTTAATACAAAAGATACATTAATGTGGTGGAAATAGGTTTGAATGAATCTGTGCTGTCTATCACGAAGATATCAAGGAGTGTACAGCTAGAACTTTTTTCCACTGCGGTGGACATTTTCAGTACTTTGCTCTCCGTGAAAGAAAGTAGCAATGTCAGTTCCACCACTGATGACTTTATCATTATCACTGCAGTCTGAAGGAGTCATCGACTGACGAGGAACTACTTGTTGCGAAGGTTTTCCACTGCGGTGGAATTGTGTTCGTTTAAAACATTCATATCGTCGTCATCCATTTCATCATCAACACCCATCCAATAATGCTCAGAGTAGAAATTAGAAGAGTCCAAAGCTTAACACTCTTGAGACATAAACCATTCCTTGATTTTTGGAATCATACTTCTGAACACTCTAAAGGACACTGCCAGCGTTTGGAATTCCGGATACTTTGACATAAAGGCATAGTGCTCCATGTAGTAGTAGTAGGATGATTTGGAGATGCCAAGTCTGCTGTTGACATAGTCCAAGAAGCGTCCCTTGTGCCCATCCCCAAATGTTTCCAGTAGTTTCATCAAGGACCTTGCTATCAGCATTACTTGTTTTGATGCCAGTACATCGGTCGCTTTGAGTTGCTTCATATTCAATTGGATGGATTTCCACAGCATCCAATCCAGTAAAGTTGTATGAGGATGACTCATCCAGCACACTGAAAGATTGATGTCGTAGTGTAGCATTTCAATAAGAATGCTTTAGCCTTTTCAGTGTCTGTTTTGGTAGTTTCTGGTGTTCTCATTGACTGGTCAATTCCCTTCAATATAGACCGGACAAATTTGATGTCAATTTGAGTGATGATTGTCCAAGGTTATATTAGGTGCTTCTTGACTCAGTCAGTAAAACGGCTGTAATCACACATTTGACTCATTTGAAGTGCAGTTGTCATTTTTATACTCGGACACCACTGAAATGTTTTAAAATGTGAACTTTTTTGAATATGAATTAGTCTCAATTCCAATAATACGTCATTCCAAGCAGCCCATTTAACGTCCCTGACCTTGGAATTTTTTTTCTTTCCTTTAAAAAAAACAACAATGTTGAGAATAGTTCGTCACAGCAGCACCCTGGCCAAACTATGGGTGAAACATAATGGCAGTCAAGCCACTCGTGTCTACTGCTGGCTGCTTAAATATCAGTGACCTTGCCAAGGCCATCAAGCAGAAGTTCCCAAACCAATTCTCTGCCGTTGACTCCAACCAAATCTCTATCCATCAGTCACTCCAGGATGCTGCTCTTGAACCTGATCTTCCACTGCTGGTCTGTCCGCCAAATTACCTTTGATTGTCAAGACTCTGGGATCCTCTGCGCCGGCTCAGAAGACCATCTTCATTCAGGATATTGATGAAGAGTGCCGTCCTTTGGATAGCTTTTCCAAATATCTTGTTGAATCAAATGATGATTTGAAACAGATCCTCGAAGGAAAAGGCTCGGCTCTCTACCAGCTGTTCAATCCCAAGGACAAGATTATCAAGTTCAAGCAGTTGATTGATGGGGAAAAGTACAATGTATATTCTCGCTACGAACGGTCGTTTGCTGACGAAGTACGTTGGCAGCAGAATGAAGACAAAGCTATGGAGGAGGAAACTCACTTGGCCGTGAGGCGATTCCTTGCTACCCATCTTGGTCCTTCAGCTGTAGATATGCCAACGGACATTATGGCTGCAGACGGAAAAACCATTGTCCAGGAGTGGAATGCTGTCTTTAAAGATGGCGATGTCCTGTACTTATGTGAAGCCAAGCATAATATGACCGATAAGCAAGTGAACAAGCTCCCTGCAAGAATTCGCAAGTTCAAGGAGTTTCAAGCCAATGCCCAGCCAGAATTTCGAAATGTCACAAAATATGTTGGGGTGTTGTGTGGTACGTTGTTTCCAGAGGATATTAGAAAGATCGCACACCTTGGATTCATTTGCGTTTATCCATCAGGATATTGTTACGATGTCAAAAAGCCAGAGGATTTCATCATTGAACGTTAATTGTTGTTTGATAATAAAAATAGTTTTACCAAATTTTGAAAATAACAACTGAGTAGTCTTGCATAGAAACAAATATAACAAATTTCAGGTAATTAGATTCTGCTCAGATTCCAAGTCAAATTCAGATTCTAATTAGAAACTAAATGCGTTGAATGTCGGAAAAAATTATTTATGACGAAAGTTTGATATGAAATTATTATACTATTAACTTTTGACCATTTCAGCAGAGAATCTCGCCTAAAAACTGGTATCATCGGATGCCCTATATACTACTGACATGGCTCTTATCGATGGGGTTAAACCTGTTTTGATGGAACTGGAATTGATTGAACCATCACTATATCTATCGTATGATGATACTGCCCTCGATAAATTTGCCAATGCAGTATTTGCTTTTTTGGAAAAGCAATAATTGCTCTATATTGATTTTTTGATAAAGATGGAGTTTGGTTTTAATGCACAAATGATCTGGGTTGGTTCTAGGCTGGTTTATCCTATTTCGATACTATCAAGTGCTCACCAATGCAGCTAATTCTTTGCACGAATAAAATCAAATATGTCCAACTTTACTTTTACAGTTGTATTTTCAATTAAACTCCACTCTATTGTATCCTAAACTATCAGATATGTTTCCGTTCTAGTTCAAGAGAACAAGATCGCAGGTTTCGAGAATATACTTGTTTTCATTTCAATCACCAGGATACCAGTCAACTTTGTCAGTTCAAATGACCCAATGTTGTCCAGTAAACTGGCACAACCATTTCATAAAGTTGGTTTTGTATCATGTATTTTGACATCCTTATTTAATGTTCCATTTTACGTGAATATGTCGGTGATTTAAATCCTATCAACTTGTCCAAACATTGTTTTGCAAACCCTGACAGTATTTCATAGACTACAAAGTTGCATTCACTATAATACACTAAACCATGAATAACTTGCCAGAACGGGAGTTTCACACCATTGTTGCTGGTGGTGTAGCTCTTGCTGCTAATGCCAGTTTCATCAATGTCGTCTCTATGGCAGGTGTATTTCCAGGCAAGTGTTATGAACCGTGTATCTTGTCGCGCCATCTTCAGTTTGACTTGAATACATGATTGAAGTCTATCCTATCCTTGCATGTATTTCAATTCATAGTGCACAACACAATATATAGTGTTTATTTACCACTTGAATACATATTTCTTTGACCATTTTGCATATCAAATGCTCCAAACTCGCGTTAGTCTGACTCAAACTATTGATTGCTACAACACGCTTCTTGTATTCTAATGATTTGTTTTCATAATGCTATGGATTGTGTTATTGCAAAACACAATATTTTCTGATACCACAAACCAATTGGTGACTGCTCACTAAAACCTGTTCACATTGACACAATTATCAACTGAACCTATAGGTGTGACGGTCTCTCATGTCACTGGATCGGTTTCTCGGGTTGCTATATCGGCTGTTCAGCAAGATTGGGAAACATTTCTTTTGGTCGTATCTATTATTGTATCATTTACATTTGGATCGTTTATGGCTGGATTTATAGTGGGTGACAACCGATTCAAACTTGGTGCCAATTACGGGATAACACTGTGTATAGAATCTGCTGCGTTGTTTACATCGTTTATGTTTTTGCGTCGAGAGTTGGTATTGGGCGAATGGGCTGCAGCATTTGCTTGCGGATTACAAAACGCAATGGTGACTTCTTACTCTGGGTTGGCTGTTCGCACAACACACATGACAGGAATCGCTACAGATGTAGGAAATATTTTGGGTCAAGCGTGTCGATCTGATACCAAGGCCGAGTTATGGCGTCTCAAAGTTCATGTTCCTATTCTTTTTGGGTTTATTGCAGGTGGCATGTGTGGTCAAATCGCATGGCTTTCTATTCACGAATATTCTCTCCTTGTCCCGTGTATATTCACTGGTGGTGTTGCCGCTTTGTATCTCACTTTACCGTTTATCAAAGATGCGGCAGAACAAATTAAACACGCTCTTCCTCATGAACTCCATTTTATGGACAACTATGAAGGAGATCCTCGGAAATATCAAGAGTATCATAAGGAACAGTTGCTGAAGCAAGTAGATCACTATGCAAAAATTACTGGCAAGAATGTTGATGATGAAATTCGAAGGTTTTTGAATGATATGGTTGGAAACGATGAAATTGAAATGGGAGTATTGAATAGCGTATCCATCAGCAGTACTGGCAAAAGAGATAGTGGATCATCTAGACTGCTCAGTTCAAGACGTGGGCAATCTGCATATGGAGCAACAGATGAAGATGACGACTTACCTAAACAAATAAATATTTAAATTATAATCACATGGATCGAGTTTGATTATCAATCGATTGGTTGGGCATTTCAAGTGATTAAATGGTTTATACAGTCGTATTCACGCAAAATGGATCACCCAATACGAGTGTCAATATATAATAAACTGCCAATCTCATATGATGATTTACATTGCATTTACTGTACAACATTTTCATTGAGCTTTTTTACAAGTCTTTTGGTGATTGGCATGCAGAGTTGCATTCTCAAGACATGCAATTCTTGGTTTCTTGAACTAGAACGTAAACGTATCTGATTTTAGCATACGAATGTTTGTACAGTTTGATTGCCATCAAAACAGTTTAATCTATGCATTTCAGTACATCAATCTGGTGATTGTACAACGTATGACTACCAGAAATGAACAACTATTTCAGTTCAAAACTATCGTTTGTATGATATGATGGATGTTGCATCAGTCAAAAATGTCCATCAAGTCAATCTTTAATATGAGAGTGTAACAAGTATTCAACCAGTGTTTACTACAAACTAAAACAGTCACATTCATTGCAATACCAATACAAAACCATTCCATTTACATCATTATGGTGTAATTAAACGATGATCATTTGATATGTAGTCAGAATCCAAATGCATGTTACAACACTGCACCAACCAACTGTTTGAAACATACAGTATTCTAGCAGTATTCTACAAATTGTTGCTACTACATGATGATGCAGTTTACGTTAATTTGTGTGAATCAAATCGAGCTTATAGTTTAATTAGAGTTTAATGACATGCTCGTAATTGAATTAAACTATTCTGCGTGTCATGATTCGCATTAATATTGTATTGATGTGCAAGTATAAAAACATCTGATTTGGTGTATAACATGCTCGTTAATTTGTCTATTATGAAGTTTACTATTATTTCGACTGTGATTATCACTGCTTCTGCAGTCATTGCTGTTCCTGCCATCAATGACAGACTCCAGTTTAATGCACCGTCTATCAACCAAAATCAAAACACTGGTATCGATACTGGATCTGGATCTGGTCCTGGTCTGTCATCTGAGTCTGGTCTTGGATCTGAGTCTGAATCTGCCATTCAGGATGCAGCCAAAATCCCGATTTTTTCAGCTCCAACGTTTTCAAAACCAGTATTTCCACAAAACACTGCTGATACTCAAAACATTGATATTCCACATCAATCATCCGTCTGTTCAGTTGACGATTACGCAAACACCATCCAGAATTTGCAAAATGTAATCCAACAACAAATGTCAACCATCCGTGACATGCTGGATAGATTGCACGCATCCAGTATTCAACAACCAGCAATGCCTGATTCATCATTTGATTCATCGTTTGGTGCACGTCATGATGCATTGACTCGTTTGCATGATTTGAATGATCGTCTTGGCAACAATATGGTCAGATTCACGACTGCTAGTCCATTGGTTATGGATTCATGGTCTGATGTCAAGAGCGGTATGAAACCATCATGTGCCGGAATCAATGCGGCTTCTACATGTCAAGAAAATGCAATCAAGAGTGATGTGTCGTGTGGTGAAGACAAGTCTGCAGCAGTAGATCGAGCCAATGCAGTGCGTGGATTCATACGTGGCATTGCATTGCAAAAACTTGCATTGTTGGACTGTGCAGCATCTAATCTTGGACAGCAATATCAAGGTAACCAAAAAACACAGCTACTGCAGCAACTTGATCGTGTTCGTGAAGTCACGGCAAAACTTGAATTGCAATTCAAATCGCTATCATGTCGTGCCAAGCAACTAGGCAGCTGTGATGCCAAGATTGGTGAGTGTAAAGGTGTTCAAGATAATACACGTTTGGAACGACGATGGTGGGGAGCAGGATCAGGAGCTGGATATGGCGCGGGAGTTGGTGCAGGATATGGTGTAGGCATGTAATAATTGAATCTACCCATTTTTTGTTAGCACACCTAAAAAGCTTATTATACCCAGACCGGGAATTTTCCCATGCTTGATATATTTTTGCAATTCTGTTCACACTTTGACACAATAAACTCAACTTGCATGTATGTGAATTTGTAATATTGACTTGAAGGATGTTTAAGCTATTTTATTATTTGTTGGAATGGATTGTAAAGCTGTATTTGATTCGAATGTGGGAATAAAACCTTGCAGTTGAGGAATATAAAAGCCAATACACTATCTTTATTGATCAACCAATCTTGGCTATTTATAAAATGTATCTGTTTACTATTATAACTGCAGTGATGGTGCAGATCGCAGCAGCCATTCCATCTTATACTACTATGGGTTACACGACTGAAACGCGATTTGGGCACAGGTTGTCCATACACTCTTGATCAATATGGGACTGCTGCGATGCAGTTTCATACCACCATGCAGCAACAACAAACAGCCATTCAAGCACAAGTTCAGGCCACTGCTACTGCCATAGCAACCAATGGCGTAGCTATTGCTTCGGCCAATGCTGTTGGTGGTGCAGCCGCGGCACCAGTGGTTGATCCATCTGTATACTGGGCTCAGTGGCAGAACTGGAATACCAATCTGGCTAGTTATGGAAATGTTTTGTGGAATGCTGGTTGTTTGTCTACTTACTGGGACAACGATAGCAATTATTATAATGCAATGATTGCTCTGCAGCAAAATCTCGCACTTCAGGTAACTTTAAACTCGAAGGGTTGTGAGTTACTATTCTAAATATTAACATGTAAACCCATTATAGAATCAGGCTATTTGGAATAATATAGCCGCTGCTAATCAGCAAGCTGCAGCACATGCCAATGCGCTGTATCTACAGACTGCAACCCAAAATGCGCTGACAACATTCAATTCGGCAGCATGCCAGATTAATACAGCGTATGGAGCACAGTTGGGATGGAATAGTGTTTCGGGAACTTCATGGAACTGTTGAGGCTTATATTGAACTGAATTCCTTGGCATATCATCCAATATGCAGAATGATTAAATAAAGTTTGAAGTTGGCTCAGATCTTGTCGATATATTATCATGACATTGGCTGAGCGGTAAGTAGTGTTGGCTAGAATGATAGTATTCAGCCATTGCTACGTGTAAATGGTTTGTATTAACGATACTCATGCTGCATTCGCCTCAAGGTTTGCATTGATTGAAAGGGATAGAGCTGTTGCTGCCAAGACTCGAGCAGTTCATCCATCATCCTCTACAACTGTTCAGAAAAGACTTGAGCCATCCACTTTTAACAAAAGACTTGATGCAAAGACTGCTGCAACTCTCTTGAAGCAGCAACAACAGACTGGTCATAAAATGTCCAATTCTGCTGCCAGTATGATGACCAAGCAAAGTAATGGTCGTACTAAAGCATCCAAGACCATTTCAGTGGTCAAACCCCTTGTAAAGCGTCTTGGACCCAAACCAGGTCCAATTGAGAATCGTCTTGGCAAGCGGCTTATTGACCGGTTAGGTGATAAACCCACTGCTGCTGGAAAGACTAAAGCTGTATTACGCTCCAAGAAAGCACGAAAGGTATCCAAGACTATAGTATCCAACTCGACTCCTAAAAGCAAGACTCGAGGATGTGTTGCTAATATTGGCTCATCCAGTTATTCTGCAGCAGATATGATGGATGATGACGATTACAAATTTGGTCAAGCTGCAATATATTAATTCTCGATATTTCAAGATTATAATTAGACTGGTTCATTACTATGGTTGCAGCTGTGGAGTGGATCTCTATTGCAGTGTGGATGGATGCGCAATCATTACTGCACGATAAGCCTTCAACATGCTTCGACTCGTGCATTACAAAGTATCGGGTGAAATTGCAATAGATTCAAGTGGTGCATGCGTTGCTTGATCAACAGACTCACCCCAATCACTTGCCGGATCTTGTTGATCAGTAGTTGTTGCATACTCGATAGAAAGCCGAGCCGATTCCTTATTAGACCGTGTCGGCTTGTCCTTGTCTGAATCAAGACAAATGATGCTATCGGCTGCATATACTTTTTTCTCTGTGGACTCCTGTTTTTGCTGATGTGCACAATCGCACAAGTCTTTTAGCTCGTCTTTATGCGTATTGACATACTCGACGGCTGTACATGCCGCTGCTTTTTTGGCATCGCGTTGCCCAGTGCCGAGACATTGAGCCAATACCATGTTGTGATACGTGATAGTTGCGGTAGTACCTCCATGTAGACCATATTCATATCTGAATGTTTTGTTTTTAAAAATAGTTGGATTTCAGTACTTTTTGGCAATTGTATTCAACAGAAATGCAGACAATAGATTTGTAGTTGTCAAATTTACCCGACAAAAAACATACGTGTAATCTATCTTGACACATTTAAACAATGAATAGGACAAGGTTCGCAATTCAGCAACTGGGTTCTCGTATATCATTGATTCTCCACCAAACAGCGATGTGAATCGCCACCACCAAGGTGAGATCACTGTGATGTCAAACATGCTTTGCACGCAGTGTATATCAAATTGAGAATCTACAAATACAGCACCTAGCATGGACTCGTAAACATCACCTGCAGTTTTTGGTGCTGTATTTCCCTTGTTCCAAAACAATCGAGCAGAGGCAATTTGAGTAGCTGACGTCGATATTGGTAATGAAGTAGATGATTCAGATGCAAGATAGCCTTGAACCCATGCAGCAAACCGCCCGATTGCTGCTTCCATAGTCATATCTGTATGGCGTATATACTTTACCAACCCAATTTGAATCGACACACATGCCAGAAATTGATTGCAAACAAGCTCAGCGCGAAGTTTTGATAATCCACCTGGATTCAACGGTGGTGTAATTTTATACAAATGTTGCATTACAAGGTAAGAAAGCACTGCATCTCCTAAAAATTCAAGCCGTTGAAATATGCTACCCAGTTTTCCCGTTCCTGAATGGTTATAGTCCATGATATCAACGAGTTTATGCATACTGCTTACTCCACACACATCACGCACATCAAACCAGTTCAGTGATATGCGAGTGTTGCGGTTTGACCAAATCACAATCACACATATTGTCGACGTGAGCGTCTCTATTAAGGACACGCATTTAT